CTTCGCATCGAAGCTAAAAAATATGTACCTTCTAAAAGAAACCAAAAAAAAATATTCTTAATATTAATTTTCTTTTTTTATTAATTAAAGTATACCACTTTATTTCTGTATATACAAAGGAATACATAAATATGACTAATTTTATAACTATTGCCTTTTAGGCTACATTCAAAACAAATAATTTATTATTTATAACTAATAAAAAAAAAATAATAAATTTTTTAGCCTTTTTTTTTTACAAAAATTTTAATATAATATGTGGTTGAAGTTTACGTACATAAGAATATTATTATTCTTAATGTAAAAACTACTTAATTACTCGTATAATAATAATTTTGAGAATTTTTTTTTTAGTTACACATAATTGTTGAGTTTTCCACTATAAAGTATTTTTTTTTTATTTATACTTCATGAGTTATAAGGATAAAAATTTGAATTTTTTTATAAAAACTTAATCGTTTATTTGATATAATAATTTAGATTTTCTTTATTTGAGTATAGTTATAGATATACACGCATATAGATATTTCGTGCATCAATAAATACCCGAGTTCTTGATTGTTAACATTGTATACCTTAACTATATTCAATGAATCAAAACTTTAAATTATTATATCAAATAAACGAACAAAGTTTTATAAAAAATTCAAATGCTACAAATTAAAAAATAACCTCTGTGAATATATTATACTATTTTTGTAAATATTATAGTTTAGGTTTTTATAATTGTTGAGCTAATTATTATTTTAATAAAGGCTAAAAAAAATAATTAAGGTTTCATAGAAAAGGCTTGCTACTTTATTTATGACATGAATTTTTAGTTTTAAGGTTCAGATATAGGGTAAGTAATTTAATAAAACAATTACATATTTGTTTTTGTAGGGATTCTATTTTATAAGTTTTTATAATAAGACGTTTAATTAGATACTATAAATATTATTAACTGAAAATGACATTTTTGAATAAAAAAAAGTCAATTTCTGTAAACATTAATCAATATGAAGTAGAAGAAATTAATTTGTCAATTTCCACAACTATAATGTGGTCTTTGCCGCTTCAAAGTCACGCAACGTCATTATAATAATGTTCTTAACTCTTTTACGATGTACGCTAGTAAAAGACAAAGCTTAAGTTGTACTCATGAAGCTTATCACGAAAAAGGTTTAACCTAATGAACGTTGCTAGGTTATAATGATTACCATTGTAAGTTGCATGCATAATTATGGGTGCCATGTTTATAAAATCCAGGAGAGGAAAAAAAACATTTTTTTAGTCATCAAACATTTTTTAAGAAATACTTCAGGAAAAAAATAAATGTATTAAAACAAGATCTTTCTGTAATGTAAAATATTAAATAATTATGCATATTAAAGAAACATGCGTTTTTATTTTATAATTTGATGATTATATGATTACCGTTCAGTATCCATCATAATACAATAATATTGTATGTAGAGCATAGGTGCAATTTATTATCAAATATTGTTTTAGATAAAAAATAATACATACACCAACTTTTTTAAAAGAACTAATATAGTGATTACATATTTTCCAGAGCATGCCCCCTTGCCTTTTCTAATGGGTGCTCATATGAATGTTTATATGTAGTGTAACATTAAAAAATAGTTAATGTTAAAAACATTTTCATAGGATTAAATGGTATAATAAGTTTATAAGATACATTATTATATTTAAGTAAAAATGCTATCTGTAACATAGTTTATGTAGTGATCAACCATTAAACTAATTATTTTTATAAAATTGTATTTCATTTTTTTCACTATAACAGTTCTCATTACAAATATTTATTGTTTAACTTGTATACGTATAATACAATAAAAAAAATAAGATTTTTTATTTATTTAAGAAACACGAATAAATGTATGACCATTGTAAATGTTAGTTAATTTATATTCTAATTTGTAAAAACTTACGCTGTTCAGTTTTATAAATTATTACTAAAAGTAAGCTTAGTGTTCTACATTAAAAAAAAATTAATTATGTTGAGTCCAACAATTTTCATACTACAGTCATTCTTGATTATTGTACACAATAAAAAATCTAAAAATTATATATATTTTTTTCTCTTTTAAAACTATTATAAAATGAAATATATTTTATTTGTACTTTTCTTTAAATTTGAACACATTTGATTATAAAAACTTGTGTAATAAGATTAGATAATTTAATATACTTCATTCTTATGTAAAATTATGGATGTTTATTATTATTTTTGTTGTGCATTACTTGAAAAAACGACCCCCTTGGACTCTATATAATGGATTTAAGTGTATGGTATAATGTAATGCTAAATTCTGATGTATATAGAATAACCCCCATTGTGCCTCCTCACTGTTGTTTGCGTTCAATGTAATATTTTACTGTACAAAAACTTGAAACATATAAATAGATATTTTCTATCAATATTTCTTTTATGTTTAAAATAAACTTAGATTTTGAACAGTTATTAAATTATTTTTCTTTTTATTATGTAGGTCTGCATCTGATCTGACAGAATGTACGGAAGAAGATCATTCTATAACGTCCACGTCATTATCCCGACCTTCATCTCCGAGGACACGAGGCTTAGCTTATTTGGCATCTCGCAGAAGTAGTAGAGACTCTCAATTTTCTAACGAAGAATTAGCTCCACTTAATTTTAATGCGACATCCCGTGCACGTCAACGTAGAACATCAAATTTTTTGGAGCTTCCAGGTATGACAAAAATGAGTCGAACATTATTTCTATAAATTTCTGTAAAGTCTTGAATTATATACTTTTATAAATTTTGTTTAGTTTTCTGAACAAAACCTCTAACCAGTATAAATTTTTATTAATTGAATTGTAAATACATATTTATGTGTAAATTTAAAAATTTCTTACCATGAAAATAAAAATAAAAACATCAAGAGGCATATGTTAAAAATAGATAACTTATGTTATACTGAAGTCTAAGTGGGATGATAAAACTAGTCTTGTACTATTCATACTTTAAATTAGCGGTATACTCGTAGCCAATTACTCATAGAAGATTGACTTGTTTAAAGATTTAAAATAGGTGAGGAATCGAATAGAGTTTATTGATGATTTATTTTTACCATAACGCGTAGTTAAGAATTCTACGTTACGCGCCCCTCTTGTTTATAAGTAAAATTATTTCATTTCAAAAAGTAATAAACTTGATCAACTAGTCAAAATTTTGGTTAATCCATTTGTCAAAAGTTACCCTTAAAATCCACCATTAGAATTAAGTTTTTCTTTCAATAAACTTAATATTTACAATGTTTCTAGTAAATAAAATTTCTATACGTAAATAAAAAAAAAATCATTATATGACAATAAAAATTTGAGGTAGTCTCTTTAATGAATCATACTGTATATTAATTTTATTGTATAATAATATTTTATAATATTAAATTATCATATTTAAATACTTAAATATAAGAGCCTAATAATCAGTCATGGAATATTAAGAAAATTATATAAAAAAAATGTTAAGCTCTTTATTTTTATGATCGGAACATGACATTCCTCCATATATATGTCACTGATTTAGTTAATGATTATATTTTTTTTAAATGCATGTCCAACGCAAAAAAAATGTCTTATTAATGTAAAATCGGTCCAGTAGCGATAGAGTAATCGTATAAGCCGATACAAAAATAAAATTGATAGAGTAAAAACGAATAGCTTTCATCGATCAGATATCCACTGAGGGTAAAACTAATGAAAATTATTTAAATAATTTAAAGTTAAAAATGTATTTAAAATATTAATTTAAAGCTAAAGATGTTTAACTCAAAAAGTCACAAAAATTACTAAAAAATCGTGTATACTTATTTCGCGAACAATGTTATCTTCATCAGAGCTTAACACATACTGATACGTTTATAAAGGGTAAGCCACAAAGATATGACTAATTCAATAAATTTTAATCCAATTATTATTTTACGTTAATTTCTTTTTTAGATAATTTTTATATTTTAAGATTATACAAATAACATAATATTCCATATTTTTTTAATTTATTAAAAAAAGTAAAAAATTTAAAATTTACGAAAAATGTAAAAAAAATTTCAAAGTAGCCATTAATTTAAGATTTTAACGAAAAACTTGGTAAAAAAATATCTTATTAAATTTCAGTAATAAATTATCTGTAACATAAAGTTTATGAAAATTTGATTTTTTGTGTTTAATTTTACGATATTCAACATTACAATATGAACTAAGAAAAAGGGAGAAGAAGACGAAATATTTTTACGCTAAATATTAGTTATAAGTATGCAACTTTTTCAATGATAAATATCTACACTTTAATGATAATTTAATTTAGGGAACGTAAAATTATGAAAATATCTTTGAGATATTGTGTCAATAAACATTAATAACATTTAATGAGTTTGAACTCGCTGTGTGATTGTATAAGATATGATTTTAGGATTTTATTTTATTTCGTTTTTAGTAATATTTTATTCTAAATTAAAATACTTTAAATTCTTGCGAATTTTTAAGAAAATAATATTTATAATAATTTATTTTGTTATAAATGAAAATTGTCCATAAAATAAATATATGTTTTTTTATTAAACTCAAACGTTTATATTTATTATTATTGAAATAAAGTAAAGTTTAATTTTTGTAATTTTTACTTCTACTATTAACGTAAAGTACAAAATATTAAAACTTCTAGTTAAATAATTTTATTTAATTTCCTTATATGGTTTTTTTTTAACATTTCACCATAGAGGGTAACTAATATTGTGTATATTCTTTAAATTGTGCTTTCTTATTAAAAATAAGTTTGTATAGTGTTAATTAATATTAAATTTGCTTTTGCTTTAACATAACAATTGATCACAGTAAATATTGAGAAGAAATATTTAATAATATTACATTTGAAAATACTAAATTTCTTACGAACATTTATAATTTATTTCTGCCTCTAGAAGGTAAATATTTATTACTATTATTAATATTACTTATACTTAAATAAATTATAGATTATTAGTTGGTAACAATTTTGAATATTATGGACTTTTTAGTCATTTTAATTTAAGTATTCTGTGTAATAAATTATTCACTTTATTTTCGTGAAAAAAAAAACTATTATTTTATTTGATAGCTTTTTTAGAACTTATTACGATAAAAATTATATTAGGTATCTATGTTGTGTTATGAATTTTATATTGTTGATAAATTTTCTCAGAATAATTTAAACAAATATTTAAAACGGTTTATCGTATCAAAAATTTCATTAGAACAAAATTGTTTGAATTTTTTTAATTATATCATTAAACTAAAAATAAGGGTTTCTGTTATAGAAAATATAAGTTTAGATTTTTTAACTCTAAGAAAAAAAAATTATTTAACTTAACATTATTGTAGATATTTTTTATTTTGACTTTTACAAAAATTTACAATTTTCAGTAGCTCACATGAAAGTGAGCGTTTTACCCTTTACCGATCGCCCTTTGTACTGCTTTTAATTAAATTATTTTTTTAAGTCACTAATAACTGTGCTTTTTATCTTGAACAATAATAACTGTTAAATTATTAGACCATTTAAATAAGTATTTTACAATAATTATAGATATATTTTATGTTTTGAATTTTAATAAGTATTTTATTTTTCTATAGACATATTAAAAGTAGACCATTTGTCTGATGACTAGTCTTGAAACCATAGAAGTATTTTCGTTGAACTTTCTGATAAACAATGGCCTATGGGACCTAGTATAAAAATGTTAGTATTCAATAGTGAGCTTTGTAGCTTAATACCAATCAAATATTAAAGTAAAATAACCAGTGGGAATATAAAATATTTGACTTATGAATGACACATCATCCTATAGTTATAAGTACTGACTTTTAAATTATAAAGCCATACCAAAATAGTTTTTGAAGTCTCACATTGAAGAATACATGTTGTAAAATGTAAACAGTGTACAGTTGTGTACTTAATCAATGAGACTTTTAACAATTTTGACGTTTTACTAAATATTATTTTATATGAGTTCTATGCAGCAATATCGATGAAACTTATTGCAATGTTGTATTGACAGCTGTTGCCTTCTTACTTGTTACTGTTACACATCTTTTACTGTATTATCTAATTTTATAAAAATGTGTATTATTTATACATTTATTAAAAATTGTTTCATATTATTGAACGTGTTTTACAAAACCAATTTATTGTGTTAAATTAGTTTTAATGTTTTTTGTTAGTACAAAAATAATTATAAAAGATTCTATAACTAATCATCAAAGCCCTTACAGTTACCGCAATAATCGGTACGAAATTGAATAGGTTTTGTTTGCTATAAAGCGTAGGTACTCAATTACATACTACTTGAACTTTCCTAGAAAATGATACACAGAATTCACATACCTATAAATAAGGTAGGACATAAATTTTAGACAATAAGTTAGGGTCTATTTAAGGGACAAGAGAATTATTATCTATGAAAATTATGTAATAGAACCATATTAATGTCAATTAGATGTGCTATTAAATATCGCTCAACATGAACTTTTATGTAAAATGACACTACCAGTTATATTTTATATTTAATTAGATAAATTTTGATAAATGTTTTATACAAAACTATCGAATTATCATAACTTTTATGAATATTATTAACATTTTAATTCCCATAAGCTAATTTTTACATTTCTAACATAAATTTAATAAGGGAATAAAATCCTTATCTTAATTACTATGATTAATTTAGATTCTGTCATATTTTATAAGCTCTATAAAGTAGTCTTCGTTTCATATAGTTTCAGTTACTTTTGAAATTATGGAAACTTGAATTATATGTTTATTTAATATAGTATTATTTTAATATATTTTTTTTGGCATATTTATTTTTAAAATAAATTCATTTTCAATATAATGACAAAAAAGTGACTAAACTTCCTCACAAATAAATTTCTGTGTATATAGTAATGAATAAGCATTATAATTTATTGTGTCACGGGAATATTTCATTATGTTGTAGGTAGATTTTTACCTTTACAGTATTTTAAACTTCGTAATTGGGAGACATTTTATTGTAATTTGCACGAGTGATATAGTTGTTCATGACATTTTCTAAGAAAATTGCTAGCTTTTTCATTACATTTTCGCGTGACAATAAAAACATGATTCGTTATGTACTTTTAGAAATAAGCAACTTCTAACGTTTAATCGACTTCGAGGTATTCAAATGTGCAAGAGAAAGTAAAATTAAAATAAGTATATAATGTATAAATAATTTACAAATACTAGTTATGGTATTCGATAAAAAGTTATTATATTTTTAAATAACTTTTGTAGAAAATTATTCATAATAGGTAAAGAGCTACGGACGTTTAACTATCAATGATAACCTTGATAAGTAAAGTAAAGTAAATATAGTGTCGTACTCGTGATTTTTAATAAATTTTTTGTACTTGAAAAAGTTTTATTTTCTTTTTTTTAAATGGACAACATTTTTAACGTTTAATTTTTTGTTTTAGATCAATCCTTATCCTACTAATCGTTATACTTGCTCTTGATTAGTTTAAATAGCATTTGGAAAATGTTTAAAACGTATAAATGGTACTTTTAAATAGTGTGATTTATTTAGTATACTACCTCCCATTTTTGAATTAAAATTTAAAATTCAATTTATTTTTATATACAATTTTAAATATAACTTTATTGTAAGAAAAAAATATATTTAGGGGTAGTG